AATAGTGAAAAAACTGACCTTATATAACTTAATAAGACATAGCAGAGGGCACAGTAAATAGAGCAGAAGGTGCTTTTGAACCACTGACAATATTCAGAGGCCAATTTTGAAAATTTGGACTGAATTTAATCTTTACTTCCCCAACTGAAAATACTTAACTAATCCTCACAACATAAAGCATACATAAAATGCTTTGAAGATGTAAAGCACTATGGAACTGCTAATTTATCCTTTCGTTTTTAGGACAGAGGATTAGGAACTTCCAGCCTGATGACTGGATCCAGCCTCCTGCCCAATTTGATCTGGCCGACAGCAGAAAGACTTGACATGGGCCAGAAGCACTGAGTGTTGGGGCTTCCCCATGGAGCTGGAACTGCAAGTGCCAACTTTCCATGCTGCAGGAGGAAGCTAGGTTGTCTTAGTGTGGCCCAGGGATGCTGACAGATTATGAGGAAGAGAACAGGGAAGCTCCAAGTTTGCTAACACTGCTCTGCCCCCACAGCTCCCATTGACTGGGAACCACAGCCAATAGGAGCCGTGGGAGCAAGAAGAAGCATGAGGGAAATGAACTGTGCCACTGTTGTGCCTTCCAGAAGCAGCACAAGATCAGGGCAGGGGAGAGCCCACCTTAGCCCCGCATTCTGTATAGGCAACAAATATTAAAATTACTTGATACATTGTAAGATAACCCTCCTGCTCTGTGTGTGCCACAAGCAGTTACAGGAGATCCTCCAGAGGTAAATGGCTCGGTTTGGATACTATTTCAAAATGATGTTTCTAAGCTATGCTTTTTTCTGAAAGTCAGGTTGAAAATCTCATCTTCCAATTTACTTTTGATATCTTCAGTACTTCCTGACCTGGTGTTAGGCTTAATTTATATTGGGAAAGTACATACTTGGATGAAAAATGTTATACCTTAAAATCAAAGTACCAGTGCTATCTGAAGTATTTCAACAGAAGTGTGAATTCAAATTTAACAAACACTGATGATTACTGTGAAGCTTTGAGAAGCTCATACAGAAATGTATACATTCTACAAAAACTCTTGTATCTTTTCTAACAAAAATAACTTGTCAATACAAATATAACTATAGACATCTGTTAGCTAAGCAATGCTGAGGTGCTTCTCCCTGCACAATTCCATCCTATTAGGTGATGATCTGGAAAACCTCAAAGCATAACACATTATGTGCAAGAAACTGCTTCAGGGCTCCTTGCTCTATTCCTTTATCCACTGTAGCACATATTTACCATTTATGACTTGTCATCAACACACACAATCAATAACATGCCAAAATGTTCATGGAAGCACTTCAGCTTAGGAAAAAAGACAATATTCTGAACTATTTGGAGACATCCAAACCAGGAAAGACTCATAACTCTAAGTTGTCGTGCTTGGAAGACTTCAATATATTGTATTAATCTATGTACCCTCTAACAAGTGCAGCTTGCATATATAAAGCAATATTGATTCAGCTGTGCTCAACTGTTTGTATAGGCTTTCAGGGACACACGCTATCAGACATTAGACCATGTCTTCCTGTGAGGTTTAGTTGCTGTCAATGAGGCTTGACTTAATGATACAGTGTGCAAGCCACTATAGTTAATTAACTTTTTTTTGTTCATCTCACAGAGCAGTTTTCGGCAATCAGATCTTATCTGCACAATGCCTGTTATAGTTTCATGCTGCAAGGAGGTTTGCAACAACAGCATCTTCCATTAATAAAACTCTGCTGCAGGAGTTCTGTGCTCCTTTGATGGGAAAGAAGGACATGGCATATGAGAAAGAATATGAAAGCAGCACAGTGATATTCAGGCTGAAGCAAAAGATCTGGAGATTACCTATAGGAAACAATGCCAGTGATCTACATGAGCAGCTCAAATATTAGAGAGGAATACAGAAAGCTGGGGGTGGCTATTTCCAAAATAACAGCCTTGTCTACACCCTATGTTGTTTACCTCAACACCAGCATACAGTACACTGTGTTATTTTATAAGAAAAGACAGGACATGCTTGGTTGCTGTTTTCTATCAGCTTCTAAACTTTTGCTCTAAATCTTGTAATTTGATAGCTGCACAGCAACAGAAAGCTGATGTTTTGCATATACTGCTTTACTTATCATGTGCCATGCAAAACAGAACATGACATTTTCCAAATATTCAGTCAAAAATGAGATTAGAAAAACCTTAAATATAAATGTTATGAACAGACATATATTCAATTCTCTTTGGGTATGTCTCCACTAGGAAACTATTTCAGAATAACTAAATTAAAAAAAAACTTAAAAAACAACAAATGGTCTGGTAGCACTTTATAGACTAACAAAACATAAATATGGTATCAGTGGGCAAAGATCACTTCTGTTGGCACAGACCATGAAAGCTCATGATACCATCTACATGTTTTGTTAGCCTATAAAGTGCTACCAGACCATTTGTTGTTTTTTTAAGTTTATCCTGTACAAGCTAATTCAGCTCCCCCGTGAAGCTTCTAAATCAGTGTTTATTAAATTGTGTTCCATGGCACACCGGTGTGCTGCGAGGCAGTCAGAGGTGTGCCACGAAGAACAACAAAATTAAAAATGGCTGCCCTTAAAGGGCCAACCGACTCTTTTTCCTCAATAACTTTTCCCCCACCCTTCCTTTGTTTTGCTCGACAAAAAAATCCTTGGTGGTCCTCATAAAAAAAATTACGACTCTTTTTCCTCAATAACTTTTCCCCCACCCTTTTTTTTTTTTTTTGGTATTATTATTATTATTATTGTTTGGTATTCCTTGGTCTTAAAAAGTTTAAGAAACACTGTTCTAAATTCAAAATAATAACTCCCAAAATAACAAAATCGAAATAGCATGTCCCCACTATGGGGAAGCCTTGAAATTACTCCAAGGCAGGCACCATTGTTGTGGATGCATTACCTTGACTTAGAGCCCCAGGAAGCATTTGGGAGTAATTAATTTGAATGACTCTGGAGAGTAGGTATTTCAAAAGAGCAGCAGCAGAGCGTCCACACAAACGCTATTTCAAAATAAGCAGAATATTCTCTGAGGAAAGCAGGAGTACAGATTTTGAAATAACCATCCCATTATTTCAAAATAACGGGCTTGGTGGTGTGGACGCTCTGCTTATTATTTTGAAAAAGGGGGGTTATTTTGAAATAACTCCCTAGTGAAGACCAGGGCTGTCTGAGTGCTCTCACATACACACACCATATTCTCCCCTACCAAGTCCTGATTTTATTCACCTGGCTATTCATTTACTGTGCTTACTTCAATTTCTGTTAGCCTCAAAGTATTTATCAGTCTGCTTCTTTCATCATGTAACAATTGAGGTGCTTATGTGGGAAGATCCATTCTCCAGTTTTACAGAGTTCCAAGTTTTCTCACTTTTCTATTAATCCCTTGCTCTTACATAGCATTTTTCATCCACTGATTTCATAATCTTGATAGGGAAACAGACTTTGAATTGGTTTGCAAGATGTGAAATCAAATAGCATTTAAGTCTTTTTATTCTAAATTCTGCCCCTTTTAATGAAAAACTCAGAAAGCACAACCAAAGTCTCCTTCCTTGGCTAATCCTCATATTATGAAGGCATACATAAAAGAATATGCTCCTTTTTAACCATTTGTTGAGTAAGTGAAGTTCAGGAAAACTGATGGAAGAAAATTAATAGCGCTTAAATGCTGCAGGATGTAGCAAATATAAATGAAAACTCAGTACTGAGGCCAAAAAAGGCCTTACACATGATATAACACTGTCTATGCAGACAAATCTACAGCAGTTCCTGCACTGAAAGATGACATATGGCCTAACAGATGTATATGATGTGATGAATGAACCTCTCCCCTCTACTTACATAGATCTTGTGATCCAATTATTATTTCTAACAACACAAACATATTTCAGTTCTCCTTTTCTTTAATGCAGGCAAATGTTTGTTACAAACTTGCAGCATTTAATTTTTAGGAGCAAAAATATTTGGGCTGGAAACTGTACCAAGTTATTTTCTTTTGAAAAATTTAAATTCCACACCTCTCAGTGCTCTGGGTACAGATTAAACCTCTCTAATCCGGCAACCAATAGGGGTACTCATGTGCTTAAAGTTGGACACATGCTTTGGTCTGTTTCTGTATCAGTGCCTTTAAACTGTGCCATATTAAAAAGATAAGATTTTTGACAGTTCTGACAATGCTTAAAACAAACAAGAGTCCCCTTGCTGTACTTGTGCCACTCATTCATGAAGACAAAAGTCCTACGTATTATACTTCGTAATAAAGCTACATTTATTGATGTATTGTACCATTTCGCAGTCATAAACAAATTTAGATACATCCCTTAAAGATACTGGTCCCTCAGGACAGTGCTGATTTCATACAGCACATTAACAACCCTGGAATGAAACCAAAGTGGTTGCTGTTACCACTCTAGTGGACTTTGATCTGCAACCACCCACTCACACAGTTATGTTTGTTTTCTTGTCTCACTGCAGGGAAGGTGGGAGGGAGAAGAGAAGGAAGCTCCTTAATGCAGCTGTAGCAAAGGGACAAGGAAGTAGTATATCTGAAAAAAAATGGTGGCATCCTGAGCAGACGGAGAAAGATTCTAAAGGGCTCCTTTTTCTTATGAAACCATAAAGGAACTCGTCTTGAAAAAACGAGGATGATAATTACTTAACACTGTAGTTCAAGAAGGTAAAACTCCAACTGATGGAATGGCTAGTTTCTAGCAGGATTATTACAGTTTTAAAAGTTATTTTTTTATGTCAATATATCTAACTTCATTTCTAATTATTTCCAGGACATTTCGTTAGTCATGATGTTGTCTAAAGCCAAGAGGAATACAAACTCCATTTAACTGACCCTAACAATTATTTATCAGCAGTCTGACATGAAATACTTCACTCATAACTTTGTTCACTCATAACTTCATTGCCTATTAAACTGACCTTATATGTAATTACATAGAGGACAGACAGGCAACAAAACAAATTTCTCAGACTTACCATTTATGCAGATCTCAAAAGGTTTGCAAAGGTCATCCTCAAATAGGCAGCCTAAAATACAACAGAAAGGTAAAATCAGTTCAGTTTTCAAACAGTGGATAATTGGTACAGAATACAGACTTCTCAGGTTATTAAATCCTCAGTAAGATGCAGATATCTGTTTGACCTTAGGTTTTTAAATTGGGCAGTTCAGAAAAATCAAGAAGATGGAAACCAGACTTTTTCAGACAGCTCCTCTCACTAAACGTCCACTTCCAGAATAACATCAGACCATTTCTCCACTTCTGTGCTCTACAAAGAAATGGATCTTCCTTGTTCCTGACAATAATATTCTGCTCATCCATTTCGGTGCCATCACAAATTAGAATACACTGAGACCAGCACAGTGACCTAGTGTAACATGGAATTCAGAAATCCTCTCAATCCACTTCTATCGGAGGTGAACTGAAGCTGATAATCCAGCAAGTATTGCTTACAGCAGATAAGGGACTATTAAAAGTTTCAATGCAACAGGGCTGGATTTAGGCATTGACATCATAAGGCCCTTTCTAGGGCTCCAACTCAGACTATCAGCTGCCATTTAGAAACATAAAATCAAATTCTAACCCATATGGTGCAGAGGAAACCGTGACAACAGGGCTGAGTGTACCAAAGCGCCTGCCTCATTGCTTCAGTTTGCAGAGGGTCTGTAACAATAGCTCTGACAGAAGTGAACTGCCTCATTTTATCTCAGTCGGGTGTTCACACCCAGACTCACTCTTCTGAGGGCCCCTGCTATCAACACCCAAATACAGAGCTTTGTATGTAGTTACACAGCAAATACAGCCCACCTACTCATGCAGATAGAGCCTCACTGCTGAGATAAGTACTGTCCTTGCCCCTCCCCCCCATTCCCACTCCCTCCCCTACTGTGGACCTCACTACCCTCAATGGTGGGAGTCTTGCTACTATCCCTATTGCTTCCCTTCAGAGAGGGTCACTGTTGCTGTTCCTGGAAGGAGAAAATGGGTCTCCATGATGCTGCAGCTGCAAAGGTCACTCCAAGTGGGGACCACACTGCAGGTGGAGAGTTTCACTGAAGAGGCATCATACTGTGCATAGGGCACCAGTTTGTCTTAGTTCAGACCTGCAGTCCTTTAATTATTCCATCTCCTGCCAATCAAGCCTGACAACTAGAGAAAGAATTGGGATAGGACATACTCAAAAAATACCATACCCTGAACTTAAGTCATGACTTCCACATAGATTTCAAAACTCTTGACAAACATTGTGCTTACCTGAAAGGTAAGTATTGCCTTAGCTTAGGTGCACATATGGCACATGGAGACCCAGAGATGCAACTGACTTGGTCAATGCCACAGAGAGAATCTGCACCGGAATAGCACAAGGACTAACCACTTAAGCAAATTTCCTCTACTCCCAAATCTGCCTGCCTCCCCCGATGAAGAGGAAGTGCAACTATCATAGCTACTACATTTTCTTGGTCAGAGGTAAAGTGGATTGAGAGATATCTGGAGTCAGCTGTTCTAATTTAGATTGAGTAAATGAACGCCTTTGTGCATGTAAAATCCTGAGTCCCTCCCTGAAAGGGAAAGGATTTAGAAGGATATAAAGTGTTGATGAGGGAACGTTCACACAACGATCTCTCACACAAAAGACCCCCTGCTCAGCTATGTTTCTAAACATGTCATCCCAAAGGCGGGGGAAATGGTATGAAGACACAGACAGCACCACATACACATACATGGATGGAATCTACATGCACAGTAAGACAGAGTGGGACATGCCGGTATCAAATTATTAATTCCATTTTGTGTTGAAACTCATCTTAACTTGCCCAAGGCAAATCTACTATGATCCATTCCAGACAGATGCTCTACCCAGGAAACATGTTTGACATCTCATCAGTCTGGAGCCATCAACTGGTTCTCAACTATCAGCCCCTGTGGAATAATGAGTGGGGAGGGGCCTACTTAACAACATGATCCAGCTCTGCGTAAAAAGTCAACCATCACTGTGCATAAGGAGGACTGATCCAGCTCTGCGTAAGAAGTCAACCATCACTGTGCATAAGGAGGACTTTCAGGAAAGAGGGTACAGGAGGAACTTTGCCCAGCTTAAAAGAATGGAAAACCTGGGACTCACAAGAAGGTTGAGATCAGACCAGGAGATATGGCATCTCACGGCTTAAATACTCTTAAGAGTAAAGCTTCTGTGGTTAAGGAATTATTTTGCCTTCTTGTCTTGTTATCCCTGAAGATATTAAACTAAAAGCATAGAGTGATCACAATAAGGTGGAGCTCAGCACCCCACATCCTCCCCCAAAAAACTATGACGAACAAGAGATCTGAATCATGGAAACATGTCCTATGACTGAGGGCTAAAAACAATGACTAGACTCTACCTAATTGACTTGGAAATATGATGGGACCCAGCAAGTGGATCCATTTATCACAGAGGGGTCATTTTACAGTGAGGTACTGAGTCAGGTTGTAACATAGCAGTATTTTTTTAAAGTAGAAAGGCGAAGAGAAGGTCTAAATTATGGTCTACAAAGCGAGCGTGTGAAGCATGAAAAAGGAAACAGCAAAGCTCCATCAATATGAATATATGACTCAAATGCACTCTGTAATTTTGCTTGATCTATTTTATATTATCAATCTATTTTCCATAAAGAGCACAGGGAAAACTGATTATATACTGCGTTACGTTCTCTTTTAATAACAGCTGACTACTAGATGTTGATTAGAATAAGGCATCTGATGCAATTAACCCTGAAAGCCTATGCCTTGAAGAGCAAATTAATAAACTCAGTGTAGGGCAAACCATATTCAACCTTGATTAATGTAAAAAGTCTATATAGACCTCCAAACCTCCTTGAAATATGTGATATTTCAAATTATTCATTACCAGAGTTGAATGCTAGACTACTTCAGCCAGCCAGTCAATATGCTAATTTAACTGCTAATTTATTTTTGTTGTTATTTGCTGTAACATTAAGAATCACAATGTTTCATTTTAAATATCATCTACCTACTAATACTTATGATGGTAATAAGTCACTTTGAAGATTGAAGAGGCAATATAAGCAGCAGCCACATCATTCAATTCATACATTACACAGGATAAAAAGTACATTTAATATTCCAGCAATACAATCCCCCTCCTAACTTCCAGACAACAACATGAAAAGTTCAAGTCCAAGCCCTAATTAAATGAAACACTGTCAAACATTTTGTTTAGACAGAAGCACTTTAAAACAGGGATCACTATTCAGCTGACTAAGGAGAACCGCTCATGAAGAACAGGACCTTTGACAAAGTCCACATTGGTCTAGGCCCTTCTCCACGTATGCATCAGTACCACTTTCCAGTCCTGTACAGAAGTCTCATGAGTATGGGGGGAGATGATCAGCAACTTCTGACATTCCTACAGGGCAAAATTAAGGTTGTAGTGTGAAATCTGCTGTTCCTCTATCAGTTTTGTCCTCACAAGAAATAAAATAAGGATTTTTAACATGTGGTAACTAATGTGGAAAAAATCCTAGTGAGTGAGCATGTTCAAGTACACCTATGAAACAGCTGCCTTATTTACACTAGAATTTTAACATTATTTGTTATAGAATGTGTTACAAGTAAACCTTTTCTCCTAATGGAGATCTAGCCTTAGGGTACGTCTAGACTACAGGGTTTTGTCGACGGAAGTTTTGTTGACAGATACTATCGACAAAACTTCTGTCGACAAAGAGCGTCCAGACACATTGAGTTCTGTCGACAAAGCAAGCTGCTTTGTCGACAGAACCCCGTAGTCTAGACGCAACCCTACAGGCAATAGAGGTCGACAGAAGGTGTTATGCCTCATAAAATGAGGTATACCAGCGTCGACAAAACTGCTGAGTTCTGTCGACGTTATGTCGACAGAACTCAGCGGTAGTATAGACGCTGGTATAGTTTTGTCGACAAAACTCAGTAGTCTAGACACACCCTTAGTGGCGAGGCACATGTCTCCAGGTGGAGGCAAAGCAGGAAGGAGGACAGTCTATCAGGGTACGTCTGGAAGTATCCCAAAATAGCTATTCCAGGTCTTGTAAGCAAGCCCGTTATTTTAAAATCTAACAGGATCTCTATTCCGATGTCCCTGTAAACCTCATTCTGTGAGGATTAAGGGGCATTTCAGAATAGCAGTTTATTTTTAAATTTGGCGCTGTGCAGGTTGTGCTAAATTATGAAATAAGCTATTTCAAAATTAACTCAAAATAAGTTACGCAATTTGTGTAGCTCAAATAGTGTAGCATATTTTGAGCTAAGGGTGCTGTGTAGATGCACCCTTAGTGAAGAAGGCATTAGCCTAGGACTCAGGTGACAAGGTTCAATTCCTAGTTTAGTTATAGGCTTCTCTGGGTGACCTGGGGAAAGTCACTTAATCTACACTCTGCCCCTAAAATAGGGATATAATTCCCTATGTCATAGTGGCATTTGCAAGGCTACAAGCCATTAACTATTGTTGGCTTCTGACACAACAGCAATAAGGGCCACATAAATATGTGAATAGATAGGTGTGCATTTTTGGATAGGATAAGAACATAAGAATGGACATACCAAAGGCCCATCTAGCCCAGAATCCTATCTTTCTATAGTGGCCAATGCCAAGTGCTTCACAGAAGGAATGAACAGAACAGGTAATCATCAAGTGATCCATCCCCCGTTGCCTATTCCCAGCTTCTAGCAAACAGAGGGTAGGCACATCATCCGTGCCCATCGTGAGTGATGCCCATAGATTGACCTATCCTCCATCTAAAAAAACATATCTAGTTTTTTTCCTCAATCCTGTTATAGTCTTGGCCTTCACAATATCTTCTGGCAAAGAGTTCCACAGGTTAACTGTGTGTTGTGCAAATAAATAACTTTTCAGTCCTTTGCTTTTAAGGTTTTGTAGTAGATATGCTACATGTAGAGCAGCCTAATATAAAGATTTTGTGTATGAATAACATTAAAAGAGTTAGTATTAGTGATTAAAAATAGTGAATGCCAAAAGAGTTTCTGTGCACAAGTAATGAGCACAGATCAGATAAATCCAAGCTGAATACAGGAAGTTCAGCCCACATTGTGAAGTTCAGAGGACCAGTCTAAATAACACAGAGAAAGGGGCTTCTTGTACTCAGAATTCAGCAAGTGAAAAGAAACAGATTCTCTCTATAATGGGTGTGGTGGTCCTCTCTCAAGAATCACTTGCACTATGAATTTGAACATTTTCTTGTGGTTAATAACAGCTGAGGAATCACTTCAGCTGAGCCAAGCATAATCCCCTTCTCCTCTCCCAGCATTCTCTACAACAGGGACAGAATCCTGTGATGCTGATTACATTCTCTGTTCAAGGAAAACCCTCCTTTCTCGCCTAGCTAAGAATCAAGAGGTCCTGTCATGCACATGTTCCAACTTCTTTCTTCTTCTAGTTTATCTCCAAACTTTGAGGAAGATGCAGAGAAATTGGAGAAGGTTCCGAGAAGAGTAACAAAAATGATTAAAGGTCTAGACATAAGAACATAAGAACGGCCATTCTGGGTCAGACCAAAGGTCCATCTAGCCCAGTATCCTGTCTACCGACAGTGGCCAGCACCAGGTGCCC